TTACACGAACTCTACAGCTTAAGGGATAAAGATATAAAGTTTAATTACTATAAGTATTTTTTATTGTCTAAACTAAAACATGCTATAGAGTGTCCTCTTAAAGAAGGTTCAAAAAAAAAAAACTAAACTATTATAATTATAGGTTTAAAATTTTATTTGCATTTGGGATTCACAACAATTTGTTATAGGCTAAGTTTAGAAATAGGTCTCATGCATGTGCATGATTCCTCAATCATGTGCATGATTCAAAATTATGTACAATTTATTCTATCTAAATTTTATATAGAAAAATTAAAGTATATTTAATTTAGGCCAAGATGTATAATGCCAAGCAAAATTAAGAAATAAGAATACAGAAGTTTTGAAAAATTCCAAAAAGAAAATGAATGAACATAAAGATGAGAAGGATCAGGGAAAACTTTGGCAAATATCTGATATTTTCTAAAGGAAAAATATAAAATCAAAAAATGTACGCATTAATGCATGTTATTATAAAATACGCATTTTTCCCATCTCTAGTTAAGTTAAAAATTAAAATTTCATACCACGAAGAGTTCAAATTGTTCCTGGTTTGTTTTAAATATTGAATAATGATAACTTCCCTAATATCTTCTTGTAGATTTTGTAGATTTTTAAAGAATGGAGTAATAAAACCAAGGGAACGCACAAAATCATTTTCCTTATATTGAACCACCTTATATCTTTCATTTACAAACTCCCACTATTCTAGAAAGTTCTTTGCTGATTTTACTTGGTTGGCCACATTGGTGATATACTGAATTCTTGAAAATTTATACGCCCAATAGTATACCTGCTGGTATGTATATAGTGATGAGTTGATTAAGTTTTCACTGCTAAGATGTTTATAAACTTCAATTTTTCTCAAGTTTTTGTTGATATTTTGTTTTATCCATATTATAGCACCTATATACAGAATAAATAAATAAGGTTAAAAATTCAAATAGATAAAACAAAAGAAAATATCTAATATACGATTTTTTTTTTTAAAAAAAAAAAAAAGCCAAGTAATTAGGTATATTTTAAATTTTAATAACTAAAAAAATTAACTTTATAGGAAACGTCTAATCTACGATTTTTTTTTAAAAAAAAAAAAAAGCTAGGTGATCAGATATATTTTAAATTTTAATAACCAAATAATTAACTTTATATAGTTCACTAAAATTTACTGTTTTACTTTACTTATAGATGTGCTAAATGCTATACAGTTATTATTGCTTTTTGTTCATATAAATCAATTTTAATTATTATAATACCATTGCATAGGAAACGTTCAATAGCAGGTCGGGCTTTGCTTATTTGTTTTACAGGTTTGTCTATTAATCGCTTATGCTGGCGATCATTTCTTTGTGTATAGCAAAGATGGGCAGTTGCATTTCCTGTATACTGACCTTTTTTTTTATGAAGATATAGATAACGAAACTTCTAGTAGTATTCTGATCCTTTTTGAAGTGGTATAAGGAATGATTTAACTATAGTGTGAAAACTATCTTTTATGTTTTGATCAAATTCTGAAGATAAGCTTTCTTTATTAATCAATTCATCTTCAATTTTACTGTCATTAAGAAGTTTATATAGTTGTCTATTTCTTCATTACTAAATTTAAAGGTTATGGCTTCTTCAAGATCATTCAAATTGATATATAATCATCTTTATTCTCATCACTATCATTAATATCTGATAACTCTTTGTCACCTAAGAGAAGGTATAATGTATCCTTTGAATTTAAAAGAAGGACTAATGAATCTTCTATACTCCAGGGCAGAGATAATGTGTTTTCTACACTCAAAGATGGAGACAGTATACCTTCTATACTCAAGGGTGGGGATAGTATATCTTTTATATACCAAGGCGGCAATTCAGCACTTGACTGAAGAGATAGTGTATTATCAATATTTGATTGAGTATTTTTAATAGTTGAAAAAGATTTTTACACGTTTGTTGCTTAATTTATTTTTATGTTTTTTTGCTCTTTTTTCTTTTTTTTTTTCTCTTTCATTTTTGGTGCATGGATTGTATTTAGCAAAGACTTTAAATTTTGCCTTGTAAATTCAGCAACTGGTTTTGGCTTTTTATAGTGATTACAATAATTATTTTTACTAGTGTCATGAGTTATAACGTTTGGAGTGGACATTTTTTTAATTCATACGAATTTTTTTTAATGAGAACGTATTGCAAGCTAGAAAAGCAAATTATTGCTTATGCTAAAGTCTCTTTTTATATAATAAAGTCAATAGCAATTAAAAAATTTAATTTAGACAAATATCTTTATTTTTAATAACAATAATAAATTATTGTATATATACAAAATTTCGCTTTTATATTTATATTCTCTATATTGATTTATTATAATTCTGAATTAATTTTTTAATTCACTATTATATTTCATTTTATATATTGATATATTATTAATCTAAATAAATTTTGCCTTTACATAATCGTATATTACTTGTAATCAAATAATTTAATTTTGCTACATATATCAATTAAATTTCATTTTACATATCGATATATTATGTGAAATTAAATTAATTTCACTTTTATTAATCTAAATAAATTTTCGCCTTTTAACTTGTAATCAAAAGATTTAATTTCGCTATATATATCAATTAATAACAATAATAATATTAATTAAAACTATTAATTAATATGAATTTAATATATTATCTGATATCAAAGTTGTATAAATTTTGTATATAGCTTCCGAAGGGGTTCAGAAACGTCAGCAATCACATGGTTGCAACATTTTTTTGCCATCACTTTTCTATCTATATTTTTGCCTCCTTAGGCATGATGCATTTCATGGTTACACCTTCGCAGGATTAAGTCATTGAAGTTAGATCAAGTCTACTAAGATCTGAGGGCCATGATCCCATAGTTATTGCTAACAGAAAGGCGGTTTTTTTATTTAAGTTTAAAAGAGATAAATCTTTATTTTTTCTTCATACTATAATAGTGTCAAAAGAAGGGGTAAAATCTGAAACGTCGTCCAAAGGCTCTAGTGGTGAGTTACTTTTCTATTTAGCTCTCATTACCTTCTCTATAGTGGAATATGAGCCAATACGAGTATTGTCTTCCTGTTAGTGTATCTCGCTTATAGCAGATCTGTAGCCTGCAATAGTATTGTAAGATTTTCCTAGTGTATTTTGAAAATTCAGGAATTCGGCTATTTTAAGTATTCCGCAACTTTTTGAATTTATATCCTGTGAATTGCACCAATTTACCTATATCTTTAAATTCAAAGATACTATAGTAGATACTGATTGATCTAATATATTTGTCATTAAGTCTACTACTTCTTTTAATAAGCCTTGATTTTGTAGCAATTCCCTGAAATAGATACTGCACAAATTTTCAATGATGTATTTCTTATTGGGTACACCTGAAAGCATTTTCCTAGTAAAATCGCCTACCTGGAAACTATTATTGGCCTGGATGTCATTATCTTGGGCTAATGTCTATCAAGGGTAAATCAGTATTACTTTTGCTCTGTCCTGAATAGTCTTTGCAATTACTTTGTTTATCATTATCTATGGTGGGTTGGCATAACCTAATAGATTGGTCCACTTCGTGTGGAATATATTTATTTCTCTTAGTTCATCCAGAAAAAAAATCTTGGCAGTTTTGTGTTGTCTGAGTTGGCAAAGAGATCTACTTGAGATGAACCCCAAAGCCGTTGAATTTTTTGAAAGAATAGAGAATAAATCTCCCAATCATGTCTATCTTTGAATTGTCTAGATACTTTGTTTGCAAGTATATTGTCTTTTCCTAGGATATGTATTGCAATTATTTTTATTGATTTTTTTAAAACATATTTCCAAATTGACTCGATGATTTTGCTAACTATTGGAGAGATAGCACTTCCTTGGTTGTTCAGGTAGATAACTGTTATCATATTGTCGGACATTATCCTTATGTATTTCTTTGACAGGTTCTTTATTCTTTTCAATGCCTGTAGTACTGCCAGGGCTTCTAAAGCATTTATATGTAGTTGATACTCTTGTAATGACCATCTTCCTGAAATGAAAAAGTTTTCTAAAACCACTCCCCAACCACTGTGGAAAGTGTCTGTATAAACTGTTAGATCCGGGTGGAGCTGAATCACTGATTCTCCATTCCATGTTTGTAGATTGTGAATCTACTATGTGAGTTGTTCCCTGCTTTCTGTTGATAGAAAAAGAATTGTGTTCCATTCCTGTGTTCTGAGGGCTATATTCTTGTCTCAAATTAATGCTCTGGTTTTTAGACATGCTAAAAAAACTGTATTCATTGTTGCTACTAATTTGCCAATTATCAAAGCCAGTTTGTATATATATATTCTGTCCTTTTTGAGAAGCGTTTTGTACTCTCTTATTATTTTTTTCACCTTGGTATGTAGGAGAGCTATGGTCATTTTGGATGTGTTTATAGTAAAACCCAAGTAATCTACTTCCTTTGAGGGTTCTAAAGAAGATTTTTCCTAGTTTATAGTGAGTCCCAGAGATTGTAAAGGATCGATTGTAATTTTTTAATAATGCAGTACCTCTATCTTTGATTTTGCAATAATAATTAGATCGTCTAAATAAGCTACTATATGTATGTCTTGTGATCTTAGTTTTTTTATAATAGGTCATAAGATCTTTGTAAAGGTTCTGGGGCTTGCAGAGAGACCAAATAGTAGTGAAGTGAATGTAAAATGTTCTCCGTTGTAATCGAATGCGAAGTATGTTTGATCCTCTTCTGCAATCGGGATATGAAAAAAGGTGTTTTTGATATCTATTGAAACCATATAATAGTCTGGGTGAAGCATAGATTTGACTGTCTCTATGTTTTCCATTTTGAAATGCTAGTATAGTACATGTTTGTTTAGTTTCTCAGATCTATTACTAATTGGATCTTGTCATTTTTTTTGAGAACTGTAAATATTCTTGATAGATAACATGGAATTGATTCTAATATCCTTTTTATGGCCCCTATTTTTAAATATTCTGTAATTTCCCTGCTTATGTCTTTGTTGCAGTTGAAATGAGATACTGGTTGAATTAGGTGTTTTGGTTGGTATGACTATTGGGGAGAATAGCCGTTGCGAATTACATTAGTAACCCATAATTCTCCAAACATATTCTCCCAGGTTTCTATATGATATTGTAAACTACATAGGTTCTGTGACTTTATTATTAATTTTGGGTTCGATTCTGAGATTGCCTTGATTCCGAAGAGTACTCATTTGTGAACCTGTTGTTTTCTCCAAAAAAAAGGCGTGGGAAGCCTTGCTTACAACATCTGAATCAGGAAGTATTATTTCCTCTTCCACGAGGCGTAAATTTTGTATTTGGTTCAGGTTTACTCTGATATCACAATGCATTACTAACTAGTTTGTTTTTAGCATTTTCTTTTTCCAGAATTTCTTTAAGATTTGTTGAACCGAATATCTCCTCTTGTTTAGCAGCCTGATTCTGTCAAATATCATTTGTAAAGGAGAAACTATCTAGTAAAAGATTTCTAGTATCCAATAATAAGGATTGCTTTATAGCTTTCCACGTATCAATGATATCTTGGAGTTAATTATCATTAGGTTTGGCATCATACAATAAGCATAGTATATTGTCCAATAGATGTAATACTGCAGAAAAGCGATAAGAGATTTTTGATAATGTTTTGTCATTGTTTTTTGCATTTTTTGACATGAACTTCTATAAGTTTTTGTCCATTATGGGTGGCTAAAAATGTATATTCTTGTTACAGAGATGAGATTGCAATATAGTTTGTCTTTCATCAAGGGGAAGTGTATTGTCTTTAAAGATTTTTGTAGGGAGATTAAGCATTTCTCCAGATGAAAGCCAGGTGTAACCCTGGTCCTTGAAATTGTCATCATGTTCGTTGTTACTAGTTTCATTATGTGTAGTATTAATGTCATCTTGTTGTTTATTGCCAATCTTGTTATTATCAATATCAGACATGAAGAGATGTTAACTCAAGTGCGGACAGTGCCAAGAAAAAACAGTCTAAAGTTTCATTTAAAGAGAAGAGTAGTATATATATATATACAAAAAACACAATAGTCAAATCACATGTAATCACATGTAAAATCACATAAATTATATAACTATATAAGCTTGGGCAGTGACTAATAAAAAACAGACAGAGCACATGATTATTATCTTACCTTCAAGTGAGATTCATTTTTATATTCTCTAATTATAGCTATTATTATAACTTCTGAAACACCTAATAAAAAATTTGCCAGATGATTTTCAGCCGATCCGATTAAGTTACTAGCTCTTAAGACCCGGTCCTTAACCAGGTTCGAGTTTCTAATTTTTTGTTAATTCTTAGGCCTCAACATTATTAGCTTTTAGGTTTTAGATATTGATTTAAGTTTGAATTTCTAACTCTTAAGTCTAAATTATATTAGCTTATAAGACCCAGTCGTTGACCGGGTTTGAGTTTCTAATTTTTTGCTAATTTTTAGACCTTAACATTATTAACTTTTAGGCCTCAATATTACAATGTTAGTTTATAAGACCTGGTTGTTGACTGGGTTCGAGTTTCTAATTTTTTGATAATTCTTAGGCCTAAATTACATTAGTTTTAGAACTTTATAGTGTCTGAGTTTATGTTTCTTTTTTTTTATTTTTAAGCCTCAACTATAAGCCCAATTTGGATTTAAAATAACTCGAGTTGGAATCAAAAAACTTTGTAAAAACCTGAATTTGGGTCAGAGAACCTGAATTGGGTTCAAAAAAAACTGAATTTGGGTCAAAGAGCCCGAATTGGGTTTAAAAAAACCTGAATTGGGGTCAAAGAACCTAATTGGGTTCAAAAAACCCTGTATAGGGGTCAAAGAACCCAGATTGGGTTTCAGCAAACCTAAATTGGGTTCTAATAAACCTGAATTTGGTTTCACCAAACTCGAATTGATTCAAAGAATCCAAAGAACCCAATTTGGTTCAAAGAACCCAAATTGGTTTCAAACAAACCCAAATAGAGTTCAAACGAATCTGAATTAGGTTCAAAAAAACCTGAATAAGGTTTAAATGAATTCAAATAGAGTTCAAACAAATCTGAATCAGGTTCAAATAATCCCAAATGGGGTTCAAACAAACCTGAATTAGGTTCAAATAAATCTGTATTGGGTTTCAATAAATCCAAATTTGTTTTAAAATTATTTTTTTATATGTTTTAAATTATTTTTTATTTTTATACATTTTATTTAAATTATTTTTTATCTATTTTTTGAGTTAAATTAAATTATTTTTTTATTTTTTAATTATTTTTTATTTTTTAATATATTTTATTAATTTATTTTTTTTATACATTTTTTGTAATTTTTTTAATTTTTTTAAATTTAATTTTTTATATGTTTTTAAATTAATTTTTTATAATTTTTTAATTATTTTTTAATTTTTTATATATTTTATTGATTTATTTTTTTTGTATTTTTTAATTTAAATTACATTTTTAAATTATTTTTTTATTTTTTTATATGTTATTTTTTATATTTTTTTAATTATTTTTATTTTTTATACATTTTATTAATTCATTTTTTTGTATTTTTTATATTATTATTTATATTTTTTAATTATTTTTATTTTTTATGTTTTATTAATTTATTTTTTTGTATTTTTTAATTTAACTTACTTTTTTATTATTTTTTAATTTTTTTATATATTTTTAAATTATTTTTAATTTTTTTATATTTTTAAATTATTTTGTTATATTTTTTTTTAATTATTTTTTATTTTTTTGTACATTTATTTATTTTTTAATTTAAATTATTTTTTGTTTTTTATATGGTTTTAAATTATTTTTGTTTTTTTCTATGTTTTTTAAATTATTTTATATATTTTTTTAATTATTTTTTTATTTTTTATATGTTTTATTAGTTTATTTTTTTATAAATTTTTTGTTATTATTTTAATTTTTTTAATTTTTTAATTACTTTTAATTTTTATACAGATTTAAATTTTTTATTTTTTTATATATTTTTTAAATTATTTTTTTATATTTTTAAATTAGATTTATTTTTTATGTTTTATTAAATTATTTTTTATTTTTTTAGTTTTTTAATATGTTTTTGAATTATTTTTTTTGTATTTTTAATTATTTTTATACCTTTTATTAATTTATTTTTTTATATATTTTTTAATTTAAATTACTTTTTTATTATTTTTTTATATTTTTTAAAATATTTTTTATTTTTTAATATGTTTTATTAAAGAATTTTTTAATTTTTTGCAGGTGCAATACATTGCACCCCTAAAAAAATTAGGGTTAGTATTAGAGTTAGTATTAG